CTACATAGATGCATTCTGACACCGACTGTTCTCGCGACCGGTTCCGCCGCACAGGGGGATATCCACCTCCGATATGTTCCTGTTCGGTCGGACGTGCCTCCCGGAACGAATGGATCTGATCTGATCGCGGTCGATCGCAAGTCTCCACCGCTACGACGGCTTCGAACGGACATTCGTACGCTCCGATCGAATCTCAGGGACGTTCTAGGTACCGCCACTTCCGCTAGCGATTGACCGTGCACTGAAGAATCTTTTGGCTCACAGTCAGCGATGTCTCTCAAGTAGTGTTCTACTCATTGATTTCTGCTCTCCGCTGAGACATAAAATACCGTGAAGCCTCTGTGAGTCCGTGCCGACGTGTACGCGAAGACGGATTATTATTCAATGATTTCCCTAATCGTACCTGCGGCGAGGAACATCCATGATCTCACGCTCCACAGTTGGCCCAGCGATAAACCAACGAGACAAGATCCTCGCACACCGAAAAAATTTGTCCTCCTTTCGTCGAACGAGCTCAAACTCCATCTAGCTCCCGATGTGAAGCCCGTCCAAACAATGTCGCATTGATGCGCAGCTGAGAGCGCATATCGAGAGCCCACTCACATTGGACAATCGAGGACTCACATAGAGTCGTCCGATTCGGCTCGAATAGCCGTCGCGGAAGAGGTAGACGCTCAATGAGTAAGAGCGACCGATCCCCAAACGTAGGGGGGGGGGGCGCTCGTTCATGGTGGATGTAATAATCAGTGAAATCACGCAGACCTGAGGCTTGGCTAATTAGAGCGTTCATTGAACAGGGAAGTCATACTTGTACATGTTGATATTCTGAACGGGTTGGAGGGAGAATTGTGGAGAATGGCTCACCTGAAGATATATCCTCGCCGCGTGTCCACAAGTAGAGCAGTTTACCGAGTTCGTTCCCGAAAGGGAGGAAGGAGACATTTGGAATGTTCGACATCATCAGGAAGTTCCGGAAGAATCGAATGTAAAACCGAATTATGAAAAAAAGTGCAAGAACACCAAGAACGTAGAGCCAAAACATCGCCCCGGCTGATGGGATTTTCCCTTTTCTGCTCTCAACGGCCAGCTTCCAGGGCTCACAACGTGGCCCTCAAATGCACACACCACTAGCGGCAGGCCTGTCGGAGTCACCTGGAACTGGGCGAGTGTTCACAGAAATAGTGCCGCAAGGTCGCATCGGGACACTTGTGCGACCGGCGAGTTTACTGAACAATGTAGAAATTTCCAAACGAAGGGACGCGGGCGTCGATCCTTCAAAGGAAAAGAGAGGAGGCAACTTAAGACGCTGGAGGTGGGATGCGATGCCGCAAAACAGTGCAGAGATTTCTTCGGAGCGATCGGTGCATACCGTCGCACCGCAAAGGATTTCGACTCCTCAGCTCTTTGGGGCCGGATAGAGCGAGTCTATATCGCTTGAGGCACTTTCTCGCTCCCTCTTCGCTCGACGCCTCACGCTATTGTTGGATACCATGAATCCGAACACTGAGTGGAAACGGCCCGTTCCCCGACGAGTTGATGTTTTATGTTGCGAATAGGGCATCCCGGAAGTGGTCGGAATCGCTGTCTCGCCAAATGTGCTGGACATCCTTCGCGCCCGCGGATGAATGGGGAAAAAGCATTCGGGGCTTCCGCGCCATCGTGCCGAGTTCCCCCAGAAGCGAATATCGCTCGGACGGGTCTACTGGACACACTCATCGGCAGGATTGAGCCTGGTCTCTGAATCGCCTCAGAGAAGGAGAGTACACTCCGGGAAATTTCCGGAGGGCCCCTTCACTCCGAACACGGCTCGGAGTAGATTAAGTTTTGAGTGATATTCACCGTCTACATTATTCGCGGTTCCGGGTATTTCTGCTTAAGCCCGTCTACGAAGTACAGCATGGACATCAAAAACTCAAAAAATGCGAGGGTGTATCTGACCATGCTATGATAGAGATCGTCCTCGACCATGGGGGCACTCGTTACCACAGTCGGCTGTCAAAACGTATCGACTATGCCCTTGCTGAGTCCGAACTTGCCAAGGCGGACTGCGGCCCGCTGTTTCGGCTGGCGGACCCGGATGCCAAGGTGTCCGTCCTCCACCGCATATGTTCAAGGGCGCTTGAGGCGAGTACACTGGTCTCCGGAGTCGGTAGAAGAGTTCAACCGGTGAGGGAATGGATGACCCCGGGACTCGTGAGAGCGATTAGGGAGCGTAACAAGCTATACCGAAAGTACAAAAAGTATGATACCCTGACCTCCAAGATCATATTTGAGTCTTATAATGTTAGGTCGAAAAGAATGCTCAGGCAGGTGAAAGACTTGTTCTATAGGGTGAAATTTGAGGATGCCCGGGGCAGCTCGGCCGACACCTGGTGGCTCTTAAACCCTTTCTTCAGAGGGAAGACAGGATCCTCGACGATTACCCCCGAGCTTGTGGGCCTCAGCGTAAGCGGAATCAATAAATTCTTCGCAACCCAAGGTGCCAACACATGCAAGTCATGCTGCCTTCTACGAGGTTTTACTAGAGCCAGAATCGATCTTCCCGGGTTTCATCGTTCCTACTGTGGCGGAGATTGCTCGCTATTCGGAGGATATTGACCCAAAGAAGAGTAATGGACCCGACGGTATACCCGGACTATTGTTAAAGAGATGCTCCCACATTCTCGCAAGTCCTTTTCACAATCTGGTAACTTCCATCCTCACCTCAGGAACGTACCCCGTCATGCTCAAAACCGCTCTCCTGTATCCCGTTCACAAGTCAGGCTCGCTGTCGAGGGTCTCGAACTTCAGACCAATATCGCTTCTTCCACTCACCAGTAGAATCATTCAGAAGGTACTGACGGACCAGATTTCCGAGTATGTGGAATCCGAAAATATCTTGAGTGACAATCAGTTTGGATTTCGGAAAGGCAGGAGCTGTGAGAAAGCTGCTCTGAGGCTCGTTGAGCACCTGGTCGACGCGTCGGACAACAATCTGTGCGCTGTGGCAATTTTCTGTGACATAAGTTAGCCGTTCGATTCTGTGAGTCATCCACTACTACTCGCTAAATTGTCCTCATCGGGCATCAACGGTCGATCCCTCCAAATCATCGGGTCCTACCTCCGTGACCGCCGAAAGATATTCAGATACCAGGATTTAACCAGCCTTCCCCACTCTGTCAACTACGGGGTCCCGCAGGGCTCAAGTCTCGCCCCTATCTTATTCGCATTATTCATCAATGACCTTCTCAAGGGGCAGACGGACGTCAAGACCATATCCTTCGCTGACGATACCACACTCCTGGTGTCTCACCGGGATCTCCGTGAGCTAAGCCGTCGAGCGTCGGCGGCTATCACCTTCGTTAGCAACTGGATGAGCCGCGACGGCTTTTCCTTGAACGCGTCTGAGACAAAATGCATCGTCTTCGGGGATAAGCCCCTCCACGACTCGATCCGTATTCATATGTCCGACTGCGGAACATCAGTGGACTGTTCTTGCTCGACCATTGAGTGTGTCACCAGTCACCGTTTCCTGGGATTGCAGCTCGATGCCGACACTAAGTAAGTTCAAACCACATATCGCCGTAAACTGTGCCAAGATGCGTTCGGGGATCGCCATCCTATCCCGTCTGAAGCACATTTGCTCAACGAGACTCAAGAGATCCATATATTTCGCCCTGGTCGAGTCCCACATGAGGTATATGATCACCATATACGGTGGCACGTATGACTACCTCAGGTCTAGAAGCGTCAAACTCCAGAAGAGGGCGGTCCGTTTGGTTGCCGTTGTCCGCTACGACGCCCACCCGGCTCCGATCTTCTCTTCCCTCAATGTTCCTGGATTGAACTCTACGCCGTCAATCTTCTCTTGCTTCTGGGGCCAAGGCTGCCGTCTTTGCCTAGGCCGACCCACGACCACTCCACTCGTATCAAGACCGCGGGCCTGCTCTCCCGAACTGGCACCATGGCTACTTACAACAGAGAAACCCCTCTATCGAACTTCATCAACCTCTTCAACCATCTTCCCGACAACATTCGTAACTATTTGGACCACCGACTCGTATGCAACCGTAATTTTATCAAATCGTTACTCACATGTCACTTCTCGACTCTGCCTCCTCCCGCTCTGCGCCATATACTAAACTAGTCCCCTGTACCCTTGCCCGAGAGGGATACCGGAGAGCCTTCCGTCGAACAATAAGTACTCCTGTTCCATGCGCAAGAGCCCTATCTCATCAATCCTCAGCTAGTTGAATAGGAGGACGAAAGATCCGTTCGGTGATAGCTTCCGGAGGAGCCCGGGACGAAGACTCGAAGAGAAGCTGTGCCCGCGATTCTCTCTGCGAATCCATAGTGTTCCCTCCGGAGCGTTCCCGTTTTTTTTGCCTATCCCGTGTCGTCCTAACTCGTGCATACTGTCGCTCCCCCTCGAACGGTCTAATTCAGTCCTGAGGAGTCCTGACAGGTAACGTCGTGGACGCGACTTCTGCTCTTGTAGACGGTTTGATTGATGCGTGTGTGTATTCGACAGAAACCGTCCCGATGAACCGGTAGAGACGGCGCTAACTCGACACGTACCATCATTTCTTCTAAAATCGTCCATGTATCCATATGACTTCGGTCAGATTTGCGTGCTTATGAGGAAATCGCTACGAGAGACCCCTCACCTATTTGGGTCTTGCTCCAAAACTCGAGGGACATATCTCCTGTCAATCTCCAACCCCTCAAGACTCGACCAGACGAGCTGGGTCGATGGAACTCTGGCGCCGCACAGTCATACAAGTTTCTGTTGCATTAATGACGATGTTTATTCGTCTGGCCACTTGAATCAAAGACATTTCCACGTATACAGGGCGGCTTGAGGAGCTTCTCGGGGAACATTTTCCGCCTGCGTCGACATGCTTCCATAAGATTCGGACCCCCTCGCTCGCTGCAAGTCCAAGCGATGTATCCCCTCTGCTCGTGTGGGGCATCAACCGTTCTGTCTGGATCGGCTCTTGCCGCGCGGAGAGAAAACTCCTCTACTCCAAGCGGATGAAGTCCACGGCCAGGGCCCGCTTCGGACGCAATACGATTTCTTCGGCCATCTCGATGCCCTCCAGGGGAGCTTTGCTGCGTATTTCGAAGTTCCGCAAGATATTCACCAGAACTACGCGAAGTTCCTGGAAAGTGAGTACACACTTCTACGAAGACGCTCGTCCTATCCTAGCTAGAAAGGCGAGCCTGGAGCCATCAAGAATCTGATGATAAACGGAGGGGCTGTTGCAACTCACCATCATTGCGAAGCGCTGCC